TGACACACGCGCACACACACACGTTCTGCTCCTTGTTTGTGTGAGGAGGATGTTCTGCCCCTTTGTTAAACCGCCTTAGTGTGCCCTGGGGCTTTCCCTGCATTTGTCACCTACTCCCTGCCCGGAGCTGGCCCTAGACTAAATGCCTCCCTCCCCCCCACACAGACACTTGTTAAACTTTTGAATCCCGCATGTTTCTTTGACACACGCGCACACACACACGTTCTGCTCCTTGTTTGTGTGAGGAGGATGTTCTGCCCCTTTGTTAAACCGCCTTAGTGTGCCCTGGGGCTTTCCCTGCATTTGTCACCTACTCCCTGCCCGGAGCTGGCCCTAGACTAAATGCCTCCCTCCCCCCCACACAGACACTTGTTAAACTTTTGAATCCCGCATGTTTCTTGCATATGGAGCCAATTTCATGGCTTTGATGCATGATTTATCTCTATCATATACCTTTCCCTTTTGTCACTAACAACAGCGCCCAGAGCACAGTGGCCCCGGACCAGCACTCCACATGGGCACCTGCCCTTAAATCCAATCCTGTCACAGTTGTTTGGTGCCCTGCGCTCTAAGAGAAGCCTTCAGCCATTGAATGGTGAGGAAAACTGACCTTACTTCTTAGCTAAGTTCTGTTTTGTTCACCACTCCCTTGGTTTGTCCAGAGCTGGCTTTTCATCACATCATTATTTCAGAGGAAAAAGCCATCCCGATTTCACTGTAATTTGAGTAGATAGCAAAATGAATTTAAATTGTGCACTGGTGGGTAAGGTAATATCTTTATTGGACCAACTTCTGTTGGTCAGAGAGGAGACAAACTTTCTAATTGCCCTAATAAGCCACTGAAACAAGGCAATCACTGTGGTCTTGCATGAACGCTCATGGGAAAATGATAAAAGACAAAAACACCATATTGCTTGGGGGTGAACGCTTCAGAAAGTGATCACTATATTGGACCTATCAGTCCTAATCCTCAAAGGAAACCTCCCTGGCTCTTTCAAAAGATGAGCTTGGGAGCTTAAATTTGTAACTTCACTAGAACTCAAATTTATGGATTGACTATAGACACTGGATTTATAGCTTATTACAAGAATCTGTAACCTATTAGCAACTTCCTCTCAACTGTTCCGCTCTTCTTTTCTTTCCTCACTCCAAACCCCTTGGCTCCAGCCCAGAGTTTGCACTCTGGTGAGTAGTAATAATTTTAAATGTATTCACAGTTATTGTAAAGTTAGAAAAATTCTAACTTTATTCAAACCTATTTTTAAAATAAGTTATTGTAAAGATAATAAGCGATTATTTAAATATAACAATGAATGGGTCACTATGTAATGTCTTGGCCAAACTGTATTGTTAAATAACCAAAAGGGAGAAAACAGATGCAGTTCATTCTCTCACCTGTTTTGTTTATTAGAATTTTTGACATCTGCTGTAGACTTGCTATCTTTGTGTATATGTACACAAGTAGCTTTGCGTGGGATGCTACTCTCAAAATATTTTGGTCAAAGAGAAAAACAAAAAAAGCTCTTATTTGAAAGGTAGCCAACACCTGAGGCCACATCTTCACTTGCCATGCTGGAGATCAGTATTTTGGTGTTAAATTTAATGGGTCTAGTTAAGACCCGCTAAATCGGATGCTGAGGATGGCCCAGCTGACGCCAGTACTCCTGGCAGTCACGAGGAGTAAGGGAGGCCAACAGGAGCAAATATTCCCATCGGCTTTCTTCTGTGAAGACGTCGCTAAGCTTGGCATATGGTAAGCTTACTCCATCTACGTATTTTATGTAGCTGGACTTATATACCTTAATCCAACCTTCCAGGTCTAGTGTAGACCTGGCTTGAATTAGTCTGTGTCTACACTACTTACAGTCATACTGCTATAAGGTCTCTTTGTAGGTGCTCTTTGCTGGTGGGAGAGAGATCTCCTGCCAGCATAATTAAATCACTTCTAGCAATAGGCATTCACTTTATCAGCAGGAGAGCCTCTCCTACCAACATAGCACTGTCTATACACAGCAACACTTTTGTTGGTAAAACCTGTGTTGGTCAGACGGATATTTTTTCACATCCGTTATTGACAAAATTTTACTGTCAAAACTGCTAGCGTAGACAAAGCCTTAGTTTTTCAGACCTGAAGAAAGCTTTTCTCTGTCCCACCAGAAGTTTGTCCAATAAAAGGTATACCCACCCTACCTTGACTAAGATTTTTATCAATAAGCTTCAGTAAACATCGATTTCACTATACGTGGACCCTGGAAAATATATCTCCATAACTACCAAAATGTAGAGATAAAAAAAGAAAACTTGAGAACTCATTAGAATTTGATTAAAGGTTGTTCACTTTGTCAGCCACACATCAAAACATACATCTTATGTTGTAATGGTTAAAAAGCTTTAACTTTTTAAATCTTATCTTTTATTAAATAACTATTGTTTGGCCCCGCTAAAATGTCCTGCAAATGCAAATAGGTCAAAATGCATTAAAATAAGCATTGATATCATCCATTCAAATTATACAAGAAATTTAATTCTGCCAAGGTGTATTATATTGTAATAGGTTACTTTTAATCACAGGAAATAGTGACTGATACTGTGAAGTATTGGACAGAGTAAATTACTGCAACATGTTAAAGAGATGACAGAGCGGGGAGGAAAAAAAGGCTATAGTAATTCAGGTGACAGAAAGAGGACATGGTAGCAGTAGGAACATAAGGGATACAGTTGGTAAGAAGTTGGATGGGCAGAAGAGGAAATTAAGATTGTGAGCCTTCATGACAGGGAAGAGAGTGGAAAAGAATAAAAGCAAGGAAGATGCTTTCAAATGGAAGGTATTGTGTGTGTTTGCAGCAGCAGCTCTAGTTAGATGTGAGGCTTTTCTTCAAAGTAGGAACTGGAAGCTCGGTAAATAATAACTATCTCTGTACCCCAGCAAATAATTGTCCTGTCCGTTATTTAATATCCCCCTAATGGAAGACAATATATTTCTCTCTCATCTATATTAGCAATTGAACTTCATCATTCCTTACTGACTCTCCTAATCTTGATCTAGTACTTAGCTGCTGCAAGCATGGGGTATAGGATGAGGAAATTTAGTACATATCTGCAATACTACAAAAAATGGGAGGACTCCTAATACCAAAGGGCAGGACTGCTTGTGAGCAGGATACAGATGGCAGAGAGGCAAAGTGAAATGTGTGACTCTTGCAGAATGAGTTTGAAGAAATTTTCATTTGGCTGGAAAAAAATGAGGTCAGTGTAGGACATGTGGTATCACTGGTTTCATCTCAATTGCCCTTCAGTTTTAACTGTAGTAATACTGTCTATCAGAGCATGCATGTTAACAACTTAAGCCCTATCCAGTTCCATCAGGTCTGTCCCTCAGGCAATGCAGGATATTTCCTGTTGTATACATCCTCATTCTGTGTCCAGTTCTCAATGTCCATAACTGTGTTGCTTTCGCTGTTTCCCCTTGCAGACTGTTCCCCACTGTCTAAGACAGGGGTCAGCAGCCTTTTCAAACCAAAAAGCCAAACTACATCCAAATTCAGAAAAAGTGGTGAACAAAGAGCTGTATACGAATGTCCATTTGTATGACTGAAAACATCCAACTTAATATTATTGATTAATAATACCATAAATGAAACCTTGTACTCACAGACTTTATTTAATGGGGCTTCTGCTGCTGCATCTTTTCTCACATTTCTTTGAAGTTTTCATCATAACTAGTCAAATCCAGCTTCATGCACACATTCAGGCTATCTTCTGTCAATCTTATGGCAGGGGGTTGGTGATGTGAGGGTTCAGACATCTGGGTTGGGGTGCATGAGGGGCTTGGGACAGGGGATTTGGGTGTATGATGGGCTCAGGGCACAAGTTGGAGTGTGTGAGGGTCAGGAGTGTTATGGCAGGGGAACGGGGATGTGGAGGTGCAGAGTTTGAGGAAGTGGGGGGACAAGGGGTTCAGGGCAGAGGGTTTAGGTGTATGATGGGCTCAGGGTCGATGTGGGGGCAGGAGTGTTATGATGCTGCTAGCAGAAGGAGGGCTGTACCCTAATTGGGGACTTGGTGGCTAGGCTTAATTTTAAATAAAATAAAATATTATGTCCAACACAGAAAGTTTCAACTTTGTCTTTATTTATGACAGGAGCAGGAAACCTTTTTTTTTTTTGGGGGGGGGGGGGCTACTGACCCACAGAAAATCAATGAGTCATAGGTTGCTGTCCCCTGTTCTAAGATCTTGCTGCCATTAGTCTTTTCTCGTTGATACTCAGTGGAAATGTTCCCGTTAATGCCATCCCATTACATCCCAGACTGCATTCTGGTAGTGCTGAGGGACTGATTGACAAGGGTCCCTGTGCAGAGCTAGGCCTTGTACAGACACAGTAGTAGGTAGTGCCTGTGCCAAAGAGCTTATCATATAACTACACAAGCTAACCACAGGGTAGGGAAACTGAGCAATGGGATAGTGGCAAACATCATGGCAGTGCTGTTCTGTATTTTTTTAAACTCATCTTGGTTCGGGTTTTGTAAGAGGTGATCATCTAAATGTCAAGAGGAGGGAGCAGGTGGGGTAGTGTAGAGAAGAAGCCTGTCCATTACCTTAAATAGTGTTTCACCCTCCTATTCTTGAGACTTGCTTGTTTGTTTTTCCTACTTCATTGGAAGTAGTGAAACAGTAAAGAGCTGCTATAGCGTTTCTACGGTGAGTGGCCACTGTGCTACCACATACAAGCCTGTACCCTCTACAGATCATTGCAGTCTGAGCAGCTCTGCTCTGTTATAGATTCATAAAGTCGCAAACAGCTTGTCCTGAGTTTTTCAAAGCCCTGCTTCCCTCCCCAGATAAAACCAGGTGAAGCCAACTGTCCTCCAGAGGCCTGGAGGCAGGGCATCTGCAGGGAATTGTCTTTGACTCTGGCACACGTGTACCAGTGAATTCACCAGAGTCAAGATCTGGGGAATGGAGACAGGGAAGGAGGGTTATACTGCAAAACCAGTCTTTTTCATAGAAGGGTGGTAGACTGGAAGGACCTTGTACCTGGATACTCGTTCCCATTTGTTAAAGTTTGGGAAGGGTTAGATCAAAGAAACGAAGTGAGACTATTAAGCAAATATCTTGGAGAAACAAGGGGAAACTGGCACTAACATTAATCCTTTCCATTGTCCCTTTTCAATCAGCAGTTTTGATCTTCAAACCATCCTGGCATCTGTGTTTGTTACATTTAACTGTGGTGTTGGTAAACTCCTGAAGAGATGCACATAAACACAAAGTGTAGTTCAACTGAAAGGTTACAGATCTTGTTCTCTTCTCTGCTCTTATTCTTGAGGCTTCTTCTGCTGAAGCAGGCAGGCATGTTGTGTTAGTAACAAACTGCACATCTCCTGAGTAAGTCAAAACAGTGTGTGTGGTAGCTGTCATTCTGCAGCTACTAGGATTGCTAAGCCTGATGTTTGGTTTGGAGGACAGAATAGCAGTTGCTCAGCACTTGTATGGCTCCATGAAGTGATTATAGGAAGTGCAGAAATAGTGCTTGCCACTCATCCCCCTAAAAAAATCATCACTGACACTGATCCAACAGCTCTCTAACCAAGTTAGCT